GGGGGCAGGTGCAGGCCACATCAAAAGGCTTGGTGGGCTGCATCCAGTCCGTGGACTGTATTTTGCCCACCCCTGCTCTATCCTTATGCCACTGGAAGCTGCGGGGGTGATGTCAGCAAAATGTCTCCCGGCCCACAATCAGATGACCCTGATGCACCATATGCATTCCACGGGCATATCAATTTTGGTATCAGACACAATCAGTCACTACCATTACTCTACTGCTAATTTGCATACAACAATTACATTGTTGAGAGAGATGTCAGAGGTGGTGATAACGTGGCCTAACTTCCATACTTATATGGCAGCAGTGGCTAGTCATGGACCAGTGCCCCATTCTGCTAGGTTGTATACAAATACAAAACAAAAAACTGATCTGTGCTGCAGGAAATGTACTTTCTGATTACAAGACAAGAGTCAAGAGAGGGAAACATTGAGACTGGCTGGGGAATACAAGGAAATAATGAGATAGTCAATAGTCTCAGCACTCAAGGGACATAATCACCATGTATTTTCTAGTCCTCATGAGAGAGTTTTAAGGAGAGATTTGAAGATGGATAATGAGGTAGCTTCATGTAGAGCTCCATCTAAGCATGTAGAGCAGCATGGGAGAAGTCAGGAAGATACTTGTTTAAGAAATGGAATATGGAGGGGCCGCTTGCAGGCAGGTGTTGAACTTCTGCTAGAGAATGCGAGATGAGAGATAAGGTGGGGACAGGCTGTGAAGAGCCTTGAAAGTGAAGACAAGTGGTTTGATGCAATAGAGAAGCGTGAGCCAGTGGAGGGATAGAAGGAGATGATTGACATGGTCAAAGTGATGGGCTAGGAAAATGAGCTTTTACAGCAGCATCTGAATGGATATCATCAGGACAAGACTGCATTTGTCAAGGTCAGAGAAAAGGATCTTGTGGTACTCATGACACAAGATGACGGTGAGAGACTGGATTGGTGCTTTAGCTGTGAGGATGTATATGATAAGCCATACCTTAGAGATGTTCTGCAAAAAGAATTGGCAAGATTTAGCCACATTCTGGATGTAAGGACTTAGAGAGAGGCCCACGTGAAAGATGACACCAAAACTGCAGGCCTGCAGGGTGGTGCTGTTGTCAAAAGTAATCAAGAAATAAGTAGAAGAGATGGGGAAGATTAAGGACTCAGTTTGAACCATGTTGAACTGAAGCTGACAATAGACATCCATGAGGACAGTTTAGAGAGAGAGCAAGAGGCCAAGATTTTACTCTGGATAGGAGGAGACAGGTCTGAAGAAGAAATTAGACCCGTTAGTCCTCAGACTAGTGTCCATAACTAAATGGGCTCGTCTACACTGGCCCCTTTTCCGGAAGGGGCATGTAAATTTCACCAGTCGTCGTAGGGAAATCCGCGGGGGATTTAAATAATGAGGACAGTTTAGAGAGAGAGCAAGAGGCCAAGATTTTACTCTGGATAGGAGGAGACAGGTCTGAAGAAGAAATTAGACCCGTTAGTCCTCAGACTAGTGTCCATAACTAAATGGGCTCGTCTACACTGGCCCCTTTTCCGGAAGGGGCATGTAAATTTCACCAGTCGTCGTAGGGAAATCCGCGGGGGATTTAAATATCCCCCGCGGCATTTAAATAAAAATGTCCGCCGCTTTTTTCCGGCTTTTAAAAAAGCCGGAAAAGAGCGTCTACACTGGCCCCGATCCTCCGGAAAAAG